ATGTCTCAAAATATAATGAAGTTTTTCTAAATTCCAATAGTGAAAAAAAAAATCAATATGAGGATAATCCTCATAGTGTTGAGCTCGGCGAAGAATGTCAGTTATTTTTTGCTAATCAAATCCTAGAAAATTATCCTAAGCGCAGTGAACCTAAAGATTAGGATCAAAATCGTACTTGTGATTAATGTCGACTTAGAGACGACATACACGGCCTATAGGACCGGACGAACGGTTTTGCCGTCGTGACCTTAAAGTCTTCTACTATATTCTTTCACCTCGTATGGCTTGTGTGGGCGATCTCCCGAACACGTGTGGTCAACTCTCCTTTCTTCCTTGCTTCACGAAACTCACGGCCCTCTCTATCATATGGGTGGCGTGCTTTTTGTGATGTCTAGCAAGAGAATGAGACCCCACATGATTTATTTATAGGCTACTACAGTGACCTTAAGGAGATTAGGATTAGGTCTTCCAGTGGGCCTTGAAATATTTGGGTTGTGATCCATCCTATTTCTTTGGACATTAGTGATAAATCAATCCACAAGAGATTTATTATTGCACTGCATTTTCCTCACCCCAATTACTCAGACTCCACTATCCTCGATTTATCTTCCATGTTTAAGATATCTAACATTCATTAATTAACTTAATTATTGATAATTTAATTAATTAACTTCTTTATTTTTTGAGACTAGTACCACTAAAGATATTATTTTGCTGGAACTAAATTTGTAGGCAGTGCTTGACATAATAATTCCTTTGTGCTCATCTCGGGATATCATCACCCTGGCGCACCAGGACACAGTGATAGGATATAATCAACAAAACACTATTTGAATAATAATATTTCTAAACTCACCGAGCCTATTGACTTTAAGACTAAGTCTCACTCTTTGGTGAAATAAAGAAATAATTATTATTCATACGCCCTCATTGTTATCATCCGGGTTTAGAGCACGAGTGATATCATGTGGTCTGGTTTATATATTGGGTTATATAAAATAAATTTCTCCTTCGTGGTCCAGTTCAATACACAGAAAATGTACAACATAATTAATCAGTCACGATAAATCAATCTCAAATTATACTATAACCACACTGATAGGTTTGTCCATTACTATTTCAGTTATGAACCTTATTTATAATGTACTAGAAACTGATAATACAATATTATGTGAAACGACGTTACAATATTAACTTCAATGTCAATAACATGACAAAAGGCAAATCCATACATAAAGTAAATTGCACGACAATTGACTAAACATGATTCTTTTATTCAAAATGGAAATAAGTTCAAATGAAGCATTGATTTCACTATACTAATTGTACCGCCCTCTTACTTATCTTTAAAAAACACTCCGTTTTCAGAAATAACTAGTACTGACCCGTGCGATGCACGGGATGGTATATTTTTCTGAAACTTTTTAATATTAACATTAAATTTAATGCACTTTGTAAATATGTAACAAATGTAAAATAAAAAAAAAACAAATTAAAAACTTCATAAATTAGTAAACATTCTTTGTACACAATGTTTTGGGTCTGGTTTGGTGGCACGTCATCGTCATTACAGACTAATATTTTCAATCCACTTCGATTGGTGACGCGAGAGGCGGCTTCTTGGCACGTCATTACAGACCATGACCGAACACCGACTTCTTAAGAAATAAACCAACTCGAGATAACGACTGTCCTTGGATCTTGTTGATAGTAATGACATAAGAAACCATAATTGGAAATTGTCGCCTCTGAAATTTGAAAGGAGTTATGACATCAGAAGGAGTAATAGCCATTCTAGAAATCAACACCTTCTCGCCTTCGTGATCCCCAGTGAGTATCTTACACTCGAGAACATGAGCGAATAGTTTTGTCACAACCAACCGTGTCCCATTATATAAACCCATAGGAAAAGGGAAAGGGATGAAAGCACCCAAAAACAACAATTTCGATAATGTTTAAACATCTCATTATGGAAAGAAAAGAAACACAATTGAAAAGTCATATATTATTGTAAGATAATGTTTACAAAATGTTTGTATAATACATAACAAAATTTGGTATAGTTAGTTTAATTATTATTGTAAGATAATGTTTACAAAATGTTTGTATAATACATAACAAAATTTGCTATAGTTAGTTGAAATTAAATCTAGAGATATGGCGAATTTCATGTAAGATCTTTTGCCAGAATCAATGGTCAAAAAAATACTTCCCATTGATGACTTACGTCAATCTTTTCTTGGTTACATTTTGATAATTTGATTCTTCTTTTTTTTCTACTCTAATATGAATTTACTCGTAAGCGATAATTACAAAAACCATCAGTATCAAGAAATTTTCATTTCCTTTTTTTTTTGTGGCATAATTTGAGTTTCAATTTCAATATCATAAAAATACTTACGTTACTATCTACATTCATAAACAAATTAGAACAATTATCTAAAATTAAAGAGAAATTGGGCCTAGTTTTTTTATTAATAATTTTAATATTCTTCTCCATATATAAATTAACTATCCGTTTTACTATTTAACTTATAATCATTAATCATATATAAATCGTTATAACCTTCGTATTATTATTTATGAAATATGTCGGAAATGAATTCTTAGATTAATAAAATATAATGAGAAAAAAAAATGCAATTACAAACAAAATGCAAAAATTGAATCAAAATTTGGGCACACAATATGTCAATTACATCATATACAAAGTAAAAATAAGGAATTTTCATGAGATCCCTTAACCTAAAACAAAAACGAACACCAAATTAAACAAAAAACATTCATGATGATAATCCTAAACCAATACAAAATTAAACAGAAAACATTCAAGATGATAATCCTAAGCCAATATACACACCGTCGATTGAGAAAACCTCAAAAACAAAGGTTTATTGTCAAATGAAAGTAAATCTGCCCTTGCCGAAAACTATACGGGAAAATGCAATCCTCATCCCACAGCCCGCTCCCGACTGCGGTGCTTCCCCCCATCTGGCCACCACAGCCCAGCTTTGCACAACCATGTCTGGCGAGGAAAAAAATGACCAACATTCAGTTTGTTCATTCAAGACTGCATTTCTATACATTGAGACCTGAACCTACTCAAGTAATATTCCTTCTTGGCAATCCCTTCTTCAGGCGCATAAGGATTCAGAAAAAATGGATAACATTTGATCTGTAATCTATACTTATATAATAAGAATTAATATTTATCCAAAATAGTAGGTCAAATTATGGTCAATGTCGGATTTGCATTAAATATTTTCCAAAACAGGTAAGTTTTTGTCCTTTTCACACTTCTCATTAATTATGTCCTTTTCACACTTCTCATTAATTATGTCCTTTTTCTAACTTTTCATTAATTATGTCCTTTTCACACATCTAATTAATTCATTAATTACGACATAATTATCATAAATCATTCCATCTGAGCTTTTATCATTAAAATGTATAGCCATCTGTTATGACCTTATCCCATTGATATTTCCATGAAGCGTCCTTATTCCGTTCTATTTTTTGGTAATCACTCTATATCAATAACCAGATATTTGGTTAATGATAGCACACGTCTTTATTTCAAGGAGCGGATATTCTTTGACCTTTAATTAATCTGAACTGATTGCCTTGGATTCTATTTAAAAAACTCAAGCGAACCAAGTTCGAATAATACAAACCAACCCGAGAAGGAAAAGTGGGAGGACACGCATATAGCGGCCTAGAACCTCAATAAGGAAGAAAGAAGAACAAAGAGAAACAAAGACCATAGTACGACCTCCACTGCCAATGCCTAGAGATAAAGCCAAGGCCAAACCAAAGAGAAAACAACAAACCACACAAAGGATTAAAGGTCACAGTACAGAAGAACCAAAAACAATAATATACAAAGCAAACTAGAGGCCAGAGAACTCCTTGACTTTTCAATTTTTAAAAACTCTTTTTTTAAATATTTCGACTTAAGATTCGGATTTCTTTATACAAGTCATCGGATTGTTTGAATGAAAATGAATGAAAAGAACACCAAAAATAGGTAGCCTTATTCATATAACCAATCCTAAAATATTAGTTTGTTCACCAAAAAGAGACAAATACTAGAAATTATAAAATATTAGTTTGTTCACCAAAAATATTAGTTTGATTTTTAGGATTTGTCTCTTTTGAAAATATTAGTTTGTGATAATGAGGAGTTACCAAATAATCAAACGCGTAATATTGTGTACAAGGAGGTTTTTAATAATATATGATTGTTACCAAACTTTTTATGATTCAACAATGTTCCTATGTATTTTAATGATTTCAATTTCGATCCTAATGCACGTGAGGTTATATTATTCTTCCAAATTTTACATCTCGTGCATCGCACGGGTTACGTACTAGTTTTTAAAATATGCACACTAACCAAATAAAGAAACAGAAAAATATGGATATCAATTCAATAAAAAGTTACCCAAAGCAAAAGAAAACAAATTTTCTAAACCTCTAACTTGTATTGATCGCTTGAAGAAGCTATAGCTTTGTCCAGATTCTTATTCCCTGTGGACTGAATTGAAACCATTAGAAAGAATAGGTCTAGTTAACCACGAGCAACTGTGGTCATTTTTCTTAGCTAATCGACTGGTTGGGAAAAGCGTATTTTATGACGTCTTCAAAAAATTTTCAAATGTCAAATTCTACTGGTACTAATTCTTGGAGGTTTGATGCTTAATCATAAAGATAGAAGCTTGAGGTATTGATATCCTAAAAACAAATAAGTACTTTTACAGCTAATACACTTATAAAATCACCACTCTTTTTTTTTTTTTCTTTAAGTATATCAATTCTGTTGCACACACTACTAATTCTCAGCTATTTTGGCTCATACAACATCACAATACTTCTAATACACACACTCAACATTAAAAGATCATTTAAATCAGGTAATAATATCAAAATCTAATAATGTTTCTTTTTCAAGATTGAGCAAAAAAATTCAAGCTAACCCAAATAAGCATCAAATAAAATACTCAGTGGTGCGCTGGCGATGTCCAGTCGGGAGGGCCAAGAGCTTGCCCTGCGTCAACCCTTTGACTGGGTCGCCTATGGTTTGACAAATTCCTGGAGGGGAAGGGTCTGCGGCTTCTTCTCCGTCTTGGTAGCAGTGGCGACAGTGAGCAACGGGAAATTCGACTAGAATAATCAAAACTACTGAAATTCGACTGAAATACTACACAGTGAATACTACTGAAATTAATCAAAACTGGATAATCAAATTAATCAAAATTGGATAATCAAACCTTCCAGCATACAAGAATATTAATATTCATAGCTAATGCATAAATAAACAATTCCTCAAGATATAATCAAAACGAAGTACCTAAAACCAATATGAACCCAATAAGAACCAATAACCAAAACAACATCTTGATTAGCTGCAGCAGGATTAAAATTAAATGTGAAACTTTGCAATTAATCATAAAAAATATATCTTTATAAAAGTTTACCTCTAGTACGCCTGCCAATATCTGAAATGGAGCAGGACCGTTAACCATAGCCTTTATTTTTTTCGTGAAAGAAGTTTCAAGTCAAAACTTGCATAACAAATTAGAAGCAATGTTAGGAACACACGTATTACTCGCAAATTCTCACAAAAAATCCAAACAACAAAACACAGTACGGCCAAGCCACCAATTCAATTACCCACAATTGAAAAAACAAAAAACACAAAGGTTAAAAACCACGGATATACAACAATCATTGCAGTAGTGTAACTTCAAATGAAGAGTCATAGATTAACCATAATATTCAAAATAAAGGAAAAAAAAAACTAATAAAGACAATAATTCAAATTCAAATCAGGAAACAACACATTAACTTCAATTCAATAATTAATAAACACAGACACCTACCCAAACATTGACACCTCACCGAATCTAGCCGGAGATGACTTCTTACTAGTCACCCAATTGTCGGTCTCGTCAGCCCTAGACGGAGCAAATTCTCAATCGCCCTCCCTCGCGATTGAAGCCTTCCCAGCGGCGAGGTTGCTCGTCCCTGATCCTCACGCCGTAAGATCTGAATTAGCCGCCGATCTTGTTCCGATCGAGCTCCTCGACAGTGCGCAAATGGGGTATGGTCAGGAGGGCCAAGAGCTTGTCCTGCGTCAGGCCCCTCGACTGGGTCGCCTCCTTCTTGACAATTTGAGAAGGGTCTGCGTCTTCTTCTTCTTCTTCGCTTTGGTGGTAGCGACATTGACCTACGGGAGATCCGATTGAAAGAATGTTCAGTTGCGATGAATTAATTAAAGAGATTATATGGAAGTTAGATAAAGATATGGAAGTTAAAGATAACGATGAATCCTTTTAATAAAATGTTTGAATTTAAAAAAAATAAGGATTATTAAAACAAAATGGTTTGTGATATGTCATGTTTCCTAAATAATTGGCTTACCAATTATTGAGATCCACGAATTCCACAAAATCGGTAACAGAATTGTAGTGAAAAATGGAATCTTATGTCCTCAAAAGCGTGTGAATTGTTATATATGGCAAAAAAAAAAGAGGAACACATGCGGAACAGATTTCCTAAAAATCCTCATAATTGATTTCATAAAAACAGATTTCATATATACAGCCACAATTGATTTTCGGATGTTTTAAAATGGTTGCCATATTCAATAAGTCAACTTGGTTGACTGCAAATTTTTTAAAACTTTCCTCATTTGATTTATTTACCTCTCTCTTTCAATATATATAGATTTGAATTTTTCAAAAACATTGAGCTTTTAAATTATTTCTAGGGCACTACATTGAAACCTCTTCTTCTAAAACTTTGTGGAACTACTTTTCTTTTTTAACTTACTTAAGCCTCTCACTTAAGTATTTGTAGGGACTCTTTTTCCACATTTCAACTTAAATATTTCTACATTAAGATAAGTCTAAACCCAAACTTCATAAACATCTCAATGTTTAAGAACATTCTCCAAACCACATGATAAAACAAAAAGTCTGAAAACATCTCAACTCATAAAATCATTGTCTTAGACTTTCTAAAAAATAATCGTTATTCAAACGATGACCACATCACCATGTCATGCCCGTCCAACTCGACCATCCTGAAAAGGGGAAATAATGAGGGGTGAGCAAAACACTAGCTCAGTGGGAAACGTACTGCGCCGTTATTCAGAATAATAACAGATATTATGACAAAAGTATGAATATGAATAAACTGGTATCTCATAACTGAACGCCCAGCTTGGGAAAAATAACTGTCTCAACTGTTCGCCCCCCTTTGGCAAGATAGCTATCGCATGACTAAACGTCTCGTTGGGGTAAATAATGAACTGAACACCCTGTTTGGGCAAATACTGAATTGAGCGCCACGCTTGGGCAAATTACTCACATAAATACTAAAACTATAATATATTATGATTATAATGAATAAAACGTAGCACAGAAACCCCACCTCAACTACGAATGAATGAAATGTTAAAGGCTCAATGAAATGCTTGAGGGCACGACGCCTCGAAATCTACAATTTAACAAATTTAACTTATATAAATAATCTCATTTTATTAATAATTAACTTAGATGATTTCTTAATTAATTTAATTATTAAGTTAATTTTTAGGCTCCGGCTAAGGCTTTACTAAGGTAAAAAATAAGGTTTCACTAAGATTTTTGGAAATATTAATTTTGCACTTAAAATTTCAAGGTTCGTCTCGAAACGAGTTCACCGACACGCGGCTCGGGTGCTGGCCAGGCTGGCAATGGCTGGACCTAGGTCTTCTCGGGTCTGGTCTGCTGCACGCGGCACTAAGAGACCTAGGTCGCTGGCCCTGGGACACTAGACTGCGCACTATGGTCTGCTGGGTCGCACTGGCTGCACCAGGGCTGTTGTGCGCGCGCACAGAGTGCTGGGAGACAGGGGACGCACTCTGCGATCATCACGTGCACGAGCGCTGGCGAGTAGCACACGGGCGCTGGCGGATGTCAAGCGTACTATCCGCTGGGATCACGCGCACGACATCACACGAGCAGGTACGCTAGAGCGTCTGTGGTCACTGGCACACGGGACGTTTGTGCACAGGGTCATCTGTGGCACTGTTAAGAGCACGGGCGCACCTGCACGGGAGCGACACTGGCAGAGCGCTCGGGTGCGATACGGGTCTGCTCGGGTCAGCTGCCGGCTGGGCTCAGCTGAGGCATTTCTCTGGTGATTTTCGATGGCCGGCCGGAGCTTTCTCTGGCAACCCTTGGGGTTTTAATATTATTTTAAATCCTGATTTTACCACGGCTATAAGGCTCAGGAAAACATAGCAACTTAAGGCCAAATCTAGAGTTCTTCTCCTATTTTCTTAAGTTTTTGATTAAATCTTAAGGCCATTCAAATTGATTCTTATTCTCTGAAAATTTACTCATTTTGCATCATGAAAATAACATGAACAGGGCTCGGTTAACACTTAATAAACCAAGGTAACTACTAATCTTCTTTCTTCTCAGTTTTCTTATATTTATTAAATCTTTTAACAAGTTTTTTATTTTCTTTTTGGCTTAACTTTAATATTAGCAAACATGGTCAAAACAAGGGAAAAACTCAGGATTAAGATGGATAACTTTAGGGAAAAGGAAAATACTAGGGCTTGGGTCATGGAGATGAAAAGGCTCGGCTGCAAGGTACTTGGTCTCGATTGTTCAGATCCGTCCAAAAGATCTCGGCTGTTGCTGGTTACTCCCGGGTTTTCTCGGCCTTCACTTATTATGCTCAGCCCTATGCTCTCGGGTGGCTCTCGGTGGATGCTCGGGTGGCTCTCGGGAAGTGCTCTTGGTGGTAATTGCCGAAAAAAAATACTTAAGATTCTTGGAGAGAAAAGAGAACACATTGCCGTGAGAGATGAGATGGATTTTTGGAGAGAATTGTTAAGGAAAACTTTGAGAAACTTATGCTTGAAACCAAAAAGATGAAAGTGCAAAAATGATGCTAAGTCTCGGTTACAAGAAGGAGATATGATATAGCCATTTACTTGGGATTAAAGGGCATGAATCATGGACTTAAATTATGGGAGTTACAAAATTTGAAAATTGAATCTTGCCTTTGAATTGGTCGTTTTCATTGTGTTGATTTGCTTGGAGGACTTGGTTAAACACAGTTGGAAGTAAGGATTCTCTTGGAAGTTACAAATTAGCCAAATAATGTAGGCTTTAAGATCATAAATTGGCGGTCACAAATTAATTCAAAATGTCTGGTACCTTCTCCTTGCTATGACCGAACCTTCTTGAATCAAATAAGTGACGTAGACAAAAACGTGCGATGGGAAAAGAGAGTAAAACTCAAGAGATAATTTAATTATTCGTAAAATCCGATCGGCAATGTTGGGAGATATCCCAATAAATAGATCCCTAATCCAACTCATTGACTTGCTAGGCAAGACATTATTTTCCTAATAAATAAAGCATTAATAAATATTCTCCTAATAAATAAAGGCAACAAATAAAAGAGAATAATTTAAAAAATAAGTGCAATGATATATCTTCTGGACTCGCAGACGATCATATTTTGCCAGATATTTTAATGCGATCTCGTCGCCATCATTCTCCCTTGGTTGAGGAGGATTCGTCCTTGAATCCGAACGGATCTCGTCGTCGTCCGAATTGTCACCATGGAAAGGAACGAGATGTTTGACGTTGAAAACGTCTGATGTACGGATGTGAGATGGGAGGCGGAGGCGATAAGCATTTGGATTAATTTATGAATAATCTCAATAGGACCAATTTTTCTAGCCAATAACTTATTATAGTCGTGAGCTGAAAAACGATCCTTAATCAACACATCCCAGACATAGTCGTCAACTTCAAACTCAACGTGCTGGCGACGAGCATTCGCACGATGCATGTAGTCGGCCATGACCTCCTCAAGATGAGCCCTAGTCGAAGCATGCGTCTGCTGTAAAGCCGCAATGTAGTCCTCGACCCGCCGATCAGACTGCTCAGAAGACGGCAACAATAATAAATCCGACGGACCACAGGGCTGGACCGCATAAACTACCTGGAAAGGAGAAAGACCAATAGCTCGACCAATGGCCGAATTGTGGGCAAACTCCACCTGACTAAGCCTCACATCCCAACTGCGCAAATTCTCGCCGACTAAACAACGTGTTGTAGTTATTTTTACCGGAGTAGAATCGAAAGATTCGTCCCCGGGTCGTATCGCAAGGAAGGTTAGCCGGATTATTTCGTACGTATATTCAATCACAAGAAGAAGAAATTAATTTCCTAAACACTCTAATACGATGATTTTGATTTTTAATTATCGACTACTAATTCTCAAATAACGCAAACGGATGAGAATAAATGACTTAAAACGAGTTACTTATCAGTATGAGAATGCTAGGGAATCAGGGATGATTGCTCTCGAATTCAATGCCAATACCAAACTAAGATTGCTCAGTTAAATAATTCGATCAACCTACACGTCTAGAGATTATCCTCAATAACTGCTCGTAACAAGAGGGAAAACATAGACGGTAAATCAAACCAATCAAACAACACATAGGCAATACAATCACGAACAAGCCTACTCTAATCGAGCCTAGATCAATCGACTTCTCCCCTTTCGGTTCCACAAGCCAATTAAATAGGTCAGGATGGTGATCAAGCATCTAACCCTAGGTTGAATTCAACTCGAATAGATCGAACAAAAATCATAAGCAAGGCAAACACACAAATACGAGTAATCATCCCCTATCCCTAGCTCAAAGATTTAGCCACTCATGCCAAGATGAACACCAAGTATTGTATACAGTAAATAATCCAAACTCATAGTTAAATGAGAAGAAAACTTACGATAGATAAATAAAAAGTGGGAATCTCAAGCACAATCCAAATCTACGATGAAATCCTTGGGTGTCACTCCCAAAATCTCAAAGATAAGCAAAGGTAAAAGGAACCAACGTTTTTCGTCTGATAAAAGCGAGAGAAAAGTGAAAAGTGCAGAATGAATTCTAAACCCTATGCTCGATCCTACATAATAGCGAACAGTTTCAGCGTTCACAAGATCAGACGCCGCGGTGTGAAGCCTGCCGCGGCGCGGCGCGAAGGTGGTCACGGCGTGAGGAAAGAAGTGCAGCGGCGTGAAGAGAGAGTTCGTAGCGGCGGGGGGGTTCTGACACGGTGCGGCGGCGATCTCGTAGCGGCGCTAGGGGTCTGACACGGCGCGGCGGCTGAAGGACTTGGAGCCTCTGTATGCTCGTGCTGATCGTCGCGGCGTGGCAACCATC